GGCTGCTGATAGTACACCTGCCCAGCTCATTAGTATGCCTGAAAGACGGCGCCTTCCGTCGATGTTATGTACTCCATACAGTCACTGCCCCTGAGTGCAGATATTTTGGGAGCTGGGTGTTTGAGGAGTGCCATGCGCTAGCGCATGTAGGAGACCAAAACAAAGCAGGCAATCAGCTTGCGCCGCAAGCGCGCTTCCACACCCGAGCCTTTGAAAAATGCCGCTCGCTGCAGACACTCAGTTTTGAAAGGACTGAATATGATCCGCGAGACCCAAATCGGGTCATACCAGAGGGTTGCTTCTCGGAGGCAGGACTAGAGGCCCTAACTCTACCAGCAGACTTCAGTTGGATGGGACCGGCTGCGTGCGAACACTGTGACAGGCTGCAGACAGTGGACATTTCACAGACCGACATCAGTGAAATCTTAGGGGGCACTTTCGCACGCTGCTCCCAGCTGCAACACCTCAAATTAGCCAAAACAGTGAGGCGCATTTGGCGAGACGCCTTCTTACGGTGCACATCCTTGGTAGAAATACATACCCCACCTGCCTTGCTATACATCAATAAGCGAGCCTTTGCAGGCTGCGCGCAACTCTGCAAGCTCGTTAGGATGGGCAAGAAAGGAACTTGGAGAGGCACCTATGCAGAACACAATGCTTTCGAGATGTGCGCAAAACTGGCACTCCCGACATGGATTCGGCTTCTGCCCAAGCCCAACGATGACAAAGAAGAGTGGGCGGACTTCATGAGAAGTTGTGCAGAAGCCAATCTCAGGGCTGCCGCACGTCCGTAGCGAGTATGCTTAAGTGTCGGGGGAAGGGGATTCCCAGAGTAGCTTGGCCAATCGACTCAGAGCATGCTAGCAGATCAGCAGGGAGCTTATGTCTGCCACTTGAACTGCCGGCTTTGCCATCGCAACTGAGTAGATAGCCAGCTCCCTTGGCTGCCTCCCAAGAGGTGGTCAGGATGTGGTACAGTGTACAGTTCTCTAGTACTAGGAATAGCGGCGTTTGACTGTTTCACGTAGTTTATGGGGCTTGCATGCTTACCTAAACCCGGCGCACTCGTGTGACGAAGGGATGACGCAGAACCTGCAGTGGCTAGCTTACTGGGCCTTGCTTGCTTCAACTGTTGAGTGACATGCACATGTGAGGCTGCCGGTGTGTTGCGTCGTGCCGCGCCGAGAAGCTACAGCAGTTCCCGCTTGTCCTTTTGGAATTGCTGCTTTCGTGCACGCTCTCAACACCTCCCCCCTTCGGGGGGGGTGGGTGTCTTCGAAGCTGCGCCTCCATCTTTTCTCCAAGCCGCTGCTTGCCCGCTGCAGGTCTCTTGCTATCTTTCGTTATTTTTCAATTCCGCACGCTCGTCCAACGATCCCACAGTGCCTTGCCCCCCTCAACCTGGGATTGGGGCTGAAACAACAGTGCTTGGTCAACCTTACAATTTGCAGTTTCCTGGAGAGTCTGAATTAGACGTGTCCCCAATGTCGTGAGGTCGTTTGCCTACCTCAACCTTCTCGCCCTGACGCAAACCCAACGTCAGTCAAAAACTCCAGCTAAGGCAATAGCAGGCCGGAATTTTGCACAGCAGACCGGAGGATCTTTCGTGACAGAGCAGGCCAATAAGGAGCAAACCAAAACTAGCATGGGCTATGTCGTACTCTTGGATAAAAGTTTCGACTTGCCTGACTCCGGAACTGGCTTGGAAAGTACCTCACACCTGCATCCAGGCTTGCCCACCGACGACCAAGCTGCCGCACAGTGATCGTTGCAATACTCGTTGCCCTACAAACAGGATGTTGCTATGTGATGGTCCTCCTGTACTGAGTGCAGCCTAAGCTTTGAATTCATGGCCCCGTTTCACACCTGTGTCTGATCTTCGGATCTTCACTTCTTTTCTCACATCTCGAGTAGATACGAGCCAGCTTCGGTTCGGGTTTGTCTGTTTGGGGGCTTGGTTTGTTTGTTTGTTTTGGGGTTTTGTGTTTCGTTGTCTGCCTCGTTTGTTCTGGCTCGTATCTTCTCTTCCGTCTTTTCGAATTCATCTATGGTGACTTGTGCCTTTCGGCACACATAGCGCCCCTACCCGTGCAAAAAAAAATTGCTCCAATATAGTGAGACTCACTATGTCTTGGAGGGCCATGGACTTTGATGACCAAGGCAACCTTTTTGCTGAGGGCGAAGGAGAAGTGTCACCTATGATGGCTTTGCTCATGGGGCGGGTTGGCGCCAGACTGCAGCGCAAAAAAGAAGAAGACGCAGCAGCAGAAGCCGGCAAGAAAGAAAAAGAAAAGAAGGATCTGAAAGATTCTGAGGCTGCTTTGGGGGACTCACAGGTCATGGACTCAATGTCTTGAGTGGCACTGTTGGGGCAGCGTCTCCTTCAGGGGAATCCCAAAGCAGCTCGTCCCAGACCCAGCCCGAGACCCAGGGCAAGAAAAGGGCGACCAAGAAGAAGGACAAGAAGAAGTGACGATCTAGTCTTCAAGATCGATCGCAGCAGGTTTTTGATGGTTCAGCTCTTGGATACTACCTGACGAGCAGAGATACCGATGAGAGAAAACAAGTCAGCATCATGCGCATGGAATGCTATGTTGATGTAGTTTCAAGAAAGTTTCAAGGAAATTTCCTCACTTGGTTTCATGTACTTTGCATGCAGTTTAGATGTAGTTTACATGTAGTTTCGGTATATGTGTGAGGAAGTTTGGATAAGCACTCTTGCAGAACCTAGACGATTTACATTTTGCTCATGTCAAACTTCCTCAACATAACTTCAAAGTACTTAACAAACTTCCTCAACAGCAAAGGAAACTTCAAGGAAATTTCCTCTAAACTTCCTTGTAGGCAGGTGGAAGGTTCAAGGAAATTTCCTTGAAACTACATCAGCACACGGTGGATATCATCAAACTGTAAGTAAAGTCTGTCTACAAATACATGAGATGATGATCTAAAACTGCCTGCCTGTATCCAAAAAAGTCTCATAACTTAAGCAGTAAACATGTGCGTGAGACTGACTGACTTGAGAGTTGTCTACCTGAGCTGGAAATACCTTCTGAACATTCATTGTTCGAGCCAGCTACCGTTTTGCTTTTACCGTGCCTCGATCTACCTTGCCTGGACTTCAAAGACAAGGATGCCTGCTTCCATGTCGACGATGAAGAAACCAGCAGCTGCTACAAAGAGGCCGGCAGCCCAGGGCTCGATCAATGAGACGATCTCCAAGATGGCCAAAGGAGTAAACCACTTAGGAATCAAGCCCGAAGGGGACGAGGCAGAGGATTCCGGTGATGGAGAGAATGAGGGCAGAGACAAAGCCAAGGGCCAAAAAGTACATGAAGATGAAGAACCAGCTGCCAGAACATGTGGTAGACCTGGTTGAGCGTGAGTCCAGCAAAGCTGCCTCACCCAGGCTTTTCAAGACTCAGATCATCAACAAGTTGTTTCGCAGGACCGCAAGTGGCCGGCTGGAGTTGAACCTGGACGATCCCTTGTTCAGTGAACACCAGAAACTGTACTCCAAGAAATTCTCGAAGGAAAAGGAGACAGCCCTTCCTGAGAAGGTGATGTGTGGGTTATACTTTGGTAACAGCGAGAATGCCATGAATGATGCCAAGCGGGATGGGAGCATCTACTCCGTTGAGGGTGAGGATAAAAGAAGAAGAACAAACTCTGGCCTCCAACAAGAAGGTCTCCAAAGAGCAAGCCAAGCTGCTCTCCGAGTGCTTCAACAATGTGCGCTGGACTTGGAACTACACTGTCAAGGATGTGAATGCCCTTGACAATGGTCGAAAGATCCCCCAGGCCATCCTCCAACTCGTCCGTCAGGCACAGGAGTCACAGAACAAGTTGGCTAAGGAGGCCATGGTGCTGATCAAAGGTTGGACAGAAGATGGCCATCAAGACCGGTTCATGAAGCTGAAGCGTGGACATGCAACCTGCACACAAAACCTCGCAAAGTTGGGTCACATGGTTGAGTTCAAAGAGTTGCCGGATGAGCTAGAGCCTACGAAGGCAAACTTGGACAAGTTGATGCAGGAGATGGCAATCCACACCCGAGACTACAATGAGTTGATCGAAACGACTCGTGGCATCGTGCGATCCAAGAAGAACTGAACTGTCCCTGAGCCCTTTGGGCTGCCAACTGTGATGAAAGGGTTGAGGCATTCCCCCTCGAATTACATCAAACAAAGCTAGTTTGGCAACGTGTTCTGTATTTCTCCTTTGGTACTTCATTTGGGGAAGCTTCGCAATTTTTGCCATGAGACTTTGGGAGGCTTGTTTGCCTGCCCTGATGAGCACCAGTGATTTGCGTTCGAAAAAAACGTGGTAGATTGGGAGTATGGAACGTGTACTTCATGATTGTCTTGAAATTAGGATTGCAAAAAAACATTCAGAGGTCGACCTCTCATGGGTAGAACGCTCATGGGTAGTTCTCTCATGGGTAGAACGCTCATGGGTAGAACTCTCATGGGTAGAACTCTCCTGGGTAGACCTCTCATGGGTAGAAAGAGGTAGAACGCTCATGGCTCAGGGGTAGATCTCTCATGGGTAGGACTCTTATGGGTAGGACTCCCATAATTAGGCCTTGTGCATGGTTGGGTTTCGTTCCTGCAGTTTTTCCGGCCCCCAAACCCCATATGTTTGATATCAGTATCGCCAAACAAACTTATATACGTGTACCGTGTCTTACTGTTTGCCATGTCATGGTGTCAGGGTCCCATGAGTGAAAAAACAAGTGGGTCCACAACCACCTTGAGAGATCAACTGGAGGGATCATACCTTGAGAGTACACCTCTGAGAGACCGTACCTTGAGAGATGACCTGGAGAGACTAAAACTTAACAAAGAGACATGAGTTCTGCAGCGTTTACTGAAACATCTATAGTGAGAGTCACCTTACATCTTTCAGCAAGACAGGATTCATAACTTGCAGCCCACACCTTGAAGTAACTATGAAAAGATTCAACCTTAACCAAAAACATGTCTTTAAATGTTTGCGCAGTTCACTTTCTCATTGTTTAGTTTTTATCGCCATGAAACGGACTCGGTCGAAGACCCGATCTCCAAAAAGAAAAGGTGGAGTGCGACAGCGCCAGGCCGCCAGAGGAGCCGAGGCCTGGGTGCCTGGCACATCTGCCCTAGTCACCTTACTGGTTGAGCTATTTGCTTGGGGGCAAATTTCGCCTCAGTTAGCTCAAAAGATTGCAGCAGCAGCCTATGAGGACGCTGTTAACTTCAAAGCTGAACAAACCAGCTTGGAATTGTTGCAAAATGTGTCTACGATTGGATCGTCGGGTTTCTACGCAAACAAGTGCTATATGGACTTTATGAAGGTGATCCCATACAAGATCAACATCCCTTCAGTCATGACCTGCCGACTGCCCTTCAAATCGCCTCTGCTCTCATTATCTCAGTGCGTGCTATGGCCACACGAACTGTTTGCAGCCATATACAATTTCTATCCCCAGACCTGGCGAAAAACAATTCTTCCCAGCGCAGAACGTTTGGAGCGATTCTGGAAAACCAACCGTGACCATCCATCGTTTGCAGACTCAGAAGTCCGCCACATTCCTTCATTTCAGAAGTGGGTGGTGCCATTGTCTTTCCACGGGGACGAGGTCCCCATCACTGGGGTAGGTAAGAGCTGGGAACAAATGGTGGTATTTTCGCGGCAAAGCATGGTTGGCGTCGGAGCTACGAATGAACATTCCTATTTGATCTATGCAATGTTTGAAAAACTGCGTGCTGTGCATGCCGACCAACAACAGGACACTCTGGGAAGATTTTTCACCATGCTGGTTTGGAGTCTACGGTGGCTATTGCGAGGACAATGGCCAGACCGTGATGTTGATGGGAAGCTGCATCTGGGTTTGGATTTGTTGTATGCTTTAAAAAACCCCACCCCACAATATATAGTATTGGCGATCCCAAATATGATACTGATACTGATGCGTCATGCTTGGGGAAGTTTGCGTTGAATTTGAAACGCATGTCCCAAGGGTTTGGGCCAGTAAAATCCATATATAGTTACAGAACTTGCGAAAAGCCACGAAATGCCCATGACACATCTCAAAGCTTCGAGCTCACACCCTGTATGTGAAATTGGTGACCGTCCTCAGGTACGCCAAACACAGTTTTCAAGGCAAACGAGCCTTGAGCTACCTTGCCGGAGGTTTCCGTGCAGTGCTTTGGTCAGTGCTGGGCGATCTCGATTACCTTTGTAAGATCATGCGCCTACCCCGAAGTACTCTCGAAAAAGGGCCTTGCCCCCTTTGCAAATGCACTGGCAAAGGGCTAACAACATGGCTGGACTTTCGGGACACAGCACCTTGGCGAGGGTTGCAGTGGGATGCCTGTGACTGGCATGCTTGGGAGGATCGGAGTGCTTGTCCTCTCTTCCGGCTTCTCCCACGCTTCAGCCCGTGGGCAATCGCATTGGATTGGATGCATTGCAAGTACCTGGGCCATGATGTGCTAGTGTACGGCAGCGTCCTTTCATTGCTCACCCGGTATGTATGTACTCTTGGGGTCACCAGAGAACAACATCAAGCAGATTTGGCGCGACGTTTGCTCTTTTTACAAAAAAACAAGACGCCGTGCCAGTTTCGATATTTGAACAGGTGTTCGATGTTCGAGCGAAAATCTGGCTATCCGAAGTTGCGCGGCAAGGCCGCAGAAATCAAATACTTTTGTCGCCCAATCCATTATGTACGGCAGAAATATTCAAATCCTCGCCTGGGCGTTCATCGTCAGATAGGCCTTTATCTTCAGATGAATTGCCAAATCGAAGAGATCCTCATTTTGAACCGACAAGAGCTAGCACTTCCAGAGGAGGACGCTAAGAAGTTTCAGCACTTGTGTGCTGCCAGCCTCCTGCTTCTCTCGGACATTGCTGAGCATTTCATCACAGACCAGCTCTTCGGAATTACCCAGAAAGCTCATTTCACCCAGCACATCTCTTTGTTGGCCAAGTTCCTATCACCACGTTTGACGTGGTGTTTCGAAGGAGAAGACGTGCAAAGAAAGATATCGACTCTGGCCAAAACTTGCGTCGGTGGCGAAAGGCCAGGCCAAACTATCGGGAAAATGATGTCCCGTTACCGGCTAGGTCTGCGCCTGCAGTTTGAAAAGCATGGTCGAGAAAAAGGCGTGAGTATGCAAGTCAAAGCACCAGAGTATGCAAGTCGATCGCAGCCATCTTCTATGAAGAGCTTCTGTACCTGCTGAGTTCGTAAATATACCTCGACAGTCCATATATACCCGGAGAGCTTCTACCGTGAGAGTTTCTACCATGAGAGTGTGTATAGCGTGAGAGCTTCTACCAAGAGAGTTTCTGCCATGAGAGTTTCTACCATGAGAGTTTCTACCTGAGTGTCTTTAATGACTTTTGAAAGAGTCGACGCCTTGACTGTTTTCTACAGCTGCTCAGAAATTCAAGGCTCAACCCGTCTCCAACTCTCCTGTGGCTTTCTTTGTTGGTTTTCTCTTTGTTTGTGATGGTCTCTCTGTTTGTTTGTGGCTGTTTTTTGGTGTGTGTGCCATTGCTGTTTTCTGTGCGTTTTTGGGTGTCTCAGTCCTTCAAGTTGAATTTGTTCTTTGTGTCGGGGTTTGTATATGGTTGTCTCTACATAGTAGTAGTGGTACTGGTAGCAGTAGTAGTAGTAGTAGCAGCAGCAGCAGCAGCAGCAGCAGTAGTAGTAGTAGTAGTAGAGTAGTCGCGCAACTAATTGTACAGCATACTACTCTAGTACTAGTACTAGAACTAGTGGTGGTACTAGTAGTAGTAGTAGTAGTAGTAGTAGGAGTAGGAGTAGGAGTAGTAGTAGTAGTAGTAGTAGTAGTAGTAGTAGTAGTAGTAGTAGCTACTACTAGTAGCAGCAGCAGCAGCAGCAGGAGTAGTAGTAGTAGTAGTAGTAGTAGTACTAGTCGCAGTAGCAGTAGCAGTAGTAGCAGTAGCAGTAGTAGCAGTAGCAGTAGTGGTAGTGGTAGTAGTTGTAGTAGTAGTAGTAGTAGTAGTGGTAGTGGTAGTGGTAGTGGTAGTAGTAGGAGGGGTAGGGGTAGCGGTAGTGGTAGTAGCGGTTGCTGTTGTGTTAGAAGTGGAAGTATAGCAGTGGTAGTGGTAGGACTAGTAGAAGAAAGACAAATAGGTAATAGTCAGAGTCATATCATATATATAATATTCTTGGTATAGTAGCACTGTAGTCCGAACAAGCATAACAGCAGTGGCAGCACTAACAGCAAATCAACAACTGGAGAAGTACAAACAGGAACAGGAACAGGTAGAAGTAGAGCCAGAGTGATGAGACAGAGTCAGAGACCGCTATTTACTATGGTAGCGCTATGCAATCGCCAAAGATGACCAACAACGGCGATCGGTGCTACCAAAAAGGCAAGGTAGTTTGGACGTAGTTTCGAAGTAGTTCAAGAGCAGTTTGAAGGAAGTTTAGAGGAAGTTTTGATTTGTCTTCGTCAGATTCATTTGACTTAGACAAATTGGAACTTGACTATTGGTTAGATTTCGCGTTGTCTTAGACAGCGGAAAGGCAACCTTTGTGTTTAAACTATTAGTTAAATTTTTCCTTTGTCTCAGACAAGGAAAAGACTATTTTTCTAATTATTATATAGTTAGATTTTCGTGAAATAGAGATTAGACAACTTTTTGTCTAACCGGGTCTATTGGGCAGCGAAAGTGCAACCAGGGGAGGCTCGTTTTGGACCAGAAC